GTGGTGTGTTAATGGTGATTAATTAGCCATTAACACGTCCGTTACGCTACGCTCCGTTTAAAATTTGTCCCGAATAATTGGAGATTAATGGCCAGTTAACTCCGTAAAAATGGACTAATTTTAAACAATACGTAAAATTAATAAAAGAAGATTGGTTCAGTAAAATTGCAAAAATTGCAATCCTCACCATATTCTTTTATTAACGAGTTAACTCTGAGAATCAATTTCTCATTCACCCTCTACCATTTTTGGCGTATAAATTGTCAAAACATTTATCTCATTTAAGAGAACACACGTCCATTAATAAACGGTTAAAACCGTTAGTGGACCTATTGACAAATATACCCAAATTGGTCCATTTAATGCCAATTAAAATGCCAAAAATTCCAACAGTAACACCCCAAAATATACCCTAGAATTATTAATAAATAAATAATCAATTAATCAAATTGTTTTGATTAATAATAAAAATAATTGTTATTGGCTTTGGGCCGAAATGAAATATGTTTTAATATCCACTATCAAAATCTGGATAAGTCTTATAGAAATAAGTGGAGGGATGAGAGATGGAAGAGAGATGGAGACGGTAAAGTGATGAGAGATGGGGAAACGCCGAGACAGATTGAGAGAGTGGGATGGTTGGGGTGTGAATATTATAAGGGTAGCAGGGTCATTTTCCACTCCTTTTTAGAAAATGAGAAGGTAATTTTAGGACAAAGAAAAAGAAGAAGTGGGAAGATGGTTTATTTTAAGACGGAAGGAGGAGTAGATAGATATTATTTTATACTGCGGGTAATGAATTTTCCATTCTTTATTTCCAATTATGTTAGAAATCCCTCTTATATTTACTTTATCATATACTACTTATATCATAATTCAATGAACAATATTTTTATTTCAATATTTCTAACATAAATAAATACAACCAAAGTAATTTGATGCTCAATGGCGGCATGCATTCCCTATGTTAACGAAATCAAAAGCAAATTGAATATCTGGACGTGGGTGAGTCTGACAATATAGACCATCCAGAAAACTAAGGTAGAAAATGGAGACCTTCAACATATAAGCTCATTAAAATGTTCTTGCTGCAGCCCGCCCATTAGTGGTTATTTTATTTATGTCTTGTTTGCAATTTACACAAAACATTCCAACAATACTAATGATGCTAAAAAAAAATTAAATTAATGAATTATAATGTTTGTAAAAATAACTCCCCAGTAAACCCCTGTGCAGTTACTAATCTGCCCTTAGAGGAGGTGAGTGAGTGTGTCTAGAAAGGTGGGATGGGGTTGGGTTGGGGTTCAAATTTTTGTTGTTGACTAATCTACCCTTACACTTCATCCATAGCACCAGCAGCAGCAATGAAGCTGTTCCTCTCTGAGGTAGAAGACGAAGAAGGGGAAAAGACGATCATGCCATTGAGGTCAGAGACGCTGTCCTGCAGGGTCTCAAGGAGATGAGAAGTGGTGAAACTCACGGAGGGCTTGACCCTCGGGACGAAGGGCAAATCCGTCTCACCAACCAGCATCTGAACCACACTTCTCATGGTGGGTCTGGCCATGGGGTCCGGGTGCGAGCAGGCCAACCCCACCAGCAAAACCCTCCTCATCTCCCCCTCCTCGAACTCCCCTTCCAACCTCCGGTCCGCCGCCGATACCAGTCTCTCCTCCCTGTGCAGATTCCATACCCACTCCACTAGGTTCCCCCTCATCTCCCCTCCTTCCCCCCTCTTCTCTATCGGCCTCCTCCCGCTCGCCACCTCCAGAACCACCGCCCCGTAGCTGAAGACGTCCGTTTTCTCCGTTGCCCTGCCCGTGGACAAGTATTCCGGCGCCAGGTAACCCATTGTTCCGGCTGCCACGGTTGCGTCCGGGGACTTGTCGTGCTCCACCGTCCGGGCCAGCCCGAAGTCCCCGACCTTCGCGTTGAAGGTTTCGTCGAGCATGATGTTGCTGGTTTTGATGTCCCGGTGGATCACTTGGGACTCGCATTCTTGGTGCAAGTAGGCCAGTGCAGAGGCCACGCCGAGGAGGATTTTGACCCGGTGGGGCCACGGGAGGATCATCCGGGACTCGAACAACGCCTTGTCGAGGCTCCCGTTCGGCATCAGGTCGTAGACGAGGAGTACTTCGCCTCTCTGGTGGCACCACCCTTGGAGCCGGACGAGGTTCCGGTGTCGGAGCGTGGCTATGATGGAGAGTTCGGAGAGGAACTCTGTTTTCCCCTGCCCGCCGCCGTGGCTGCACCGCTTCACCGCCACGGCCTCGCCGTTCTCCGGCAATATCCCCTTGTACACCGTCCCGAAGGCGCCGTGCCCGATGATCCGGCACGGATCGAAGCCCTTCGTGGCGGATTTGAGGTTCTTGTAGGAGAACTCCTTGGGGGTTTTGATGAAATCTGAGGCGACTAGAGCGCCTGTGGAGGATTTGGGGGGTTTCAGTTTCTTTGAGTAGAACCAGAGGAGTGCGAGAGCGGCGAAGGCCAGGCAGAATGTGCCCGCGGTGACCACCCCGACAACCGCTCCGGCACGGTGTTTGCACAGCCGGGTGTGGCATTTCTCCTCCTGGACGGCGGCAGTTGCGGTGGCATTACTCGACTCTGAGGGAGGTATAGATGGCGGAGGGGCTGGTACTGAGTTGGCAGTGGGGTTCATCAAGGTGGCGGTCGGCGGCGGCGGTGGTGGGCCGGGTGAATTCGGCGATTTGGGATCGGATTCGAATGATGAGGTGAAGCTCCACCACTCGATGCTGTGGATCTCCGTGCTCCCCTGAGTTGACCCGGAGAACCCAACGAACATGAAATCGTTCACGTAGAGGCCTAGATTTAGAGGGATTGAAAGGAATGGAACCTTTGGTTTCAGATTGGAGTAGGAGACGGAGATAGTGAGTAGCTGAGTCGACCCGGAGTAGTCGATCCACGAGTTGACCAGGTCACCGCTTTTGAGATTTACGCCGGCGGCATCCAGATCCCTCGCCGGAGTAGATACCATTGAGCCCAAATCTAAGCCGATGTGGTTCCCGCTGACGTCCCCGAACTCCAAATCCATCAAAGTGTCGAATTCCACCGCCACGACCCTGCTCGCCGGCCCCTTCGATCCCATGATTCCCAAGTAAGCGCCGCCGTCTCCCACCGTCTCGTCCTCCGGAGTGATGACAAAAGCCAGACCACCTCCGATGGAGCTCGGATTCAGATTAATCACCGAGAAGGAGAAGAACGTCGAGAAGCTCGCCGGAGTGCTCGACGCAGGCTGCCGGAACCTGATCGGTTTCGCGTAGAGCACCTTCCCGGCGCCGGAGGTGGGCACATCGAGGTCCCTCGTGAGACGCACGGTGTTGTTGTACAAGTGGGCGTCGCCGAGCAGCTTCAGGCTGCTCAGAGTCAAGGTCCCGAAATCAAACTCCGTGGCGGCTTCAACGCCGGAGAACCAGAAGATGAGAACTATTACAACGGCGCCGAGGAAGTCGCCGGGAAATGACGTCATCCCTAGATCTGCGTCAGCCCATAATAACCGAAAGCCTATAAATTAGCGGAAGGATAAGATTTGTCTATTTATTTCAGTGAAAGATCCAAAAATCACGAGAATTGAGAGAGAGAGAGAGAAGTAGATGACGAAGAAGAAGAAGAAGAAAGGGTGTGAAGGAAGTAGAGAATCCAAAGTGATGGGCCAAAGAAGACATGTGGCTTTGGTTGACGGCCACGTCGCCACGTGTTTGTTGTAACGGCAAAAAAATCACAGTACGGTGGTGATAATAAATAAAAAAAGGAAAAATGTTATGGTCTGACTCCATATATGGTTGCCTGTTGGTCCAACGTTTGTCGTCATTATAGAAAAGCACAGTGCTCATTGGAGGAAAGGCTGTTCACTTTGTCAGGAGTTCATTATCAGCCAGCGTGGTATAACCTTTTTTGAATACAGTACTTGTTTAATGATGCTTCCCTTATATTTAGGGGTGTACACGAACCGGTCTCGACCGGAAATTAGACCTGACCTGGACCGGAATGGACCGGTTCGGACTGACCCGGAGTTATCAGGTCCGGTCTCCGGTCTTAAGAAATTATGAATTCCGGGTTTCGGTCTGATCCGATCTAAAACCCAGAAATTACCGGTTTGGACCGAAATTTTAAATGTGTTATTATTCCATCTGTCCTAAAATATTCTTCTCACTCACTTTTTAATTTTTTATATCTATCTTATCCACTAATCCAACTATCCAAGGATTCCAAGCCCAACATTTAATATAGAGTCTCATTAATCTGAGACCAGAGCCGCATCTCCTAAAGTCGTAATACAACTACAGCCGTAATACAACTACAGCCGTCGCCCGCCAGCTGCATCTTGTTATGGTCAATCGGCTCCTCCTTCGCGGCATCTCGTCAATCGGCTCCTCCATCGTCAAAATCGTCTATCGTTCTCGCCTTCTCGCCTTATCGTTGTCGCCTGCTCGTTCTCGCCGTCGCCAAAATCCTTTTCTCCTGCAGATTGCTGCTGACGGAAATGGAAAAACAGGGATTTTAAATTCAATTGCTTCTAGCAATGGTGATTCCTAGCATGACTTTATACTTAACATTCCAATTTTAATTCTAATTTCAGATTTGTATATATTAGTCTCTTAGTTTTTTAGAACTAAAAAAATCTAAACAACAAATAAAGAATTTTATGTTTTTGGTATTTGCTTCAAGGCCAATCGGTCAAAACACAATTGTGATTGATATGAATTTGTGGAGATATTAAATCATGGTTTTATCAATTTCGTGTATATTTACATAACAAATTTTAGTTAATGTGATTTTTTAATATAACGAATCCGATCCATATTAGGGTAAACTCGGACCGGACCGGAATATTCAGGTCCAGACCGGTCCGGACCGGTAACCAACAGGTTCGGTCTTCGGTCCTAAGAAAATCCTGATTCCGGTTCCGGTCCGGTCTGGTTTTGGACCAGTGCACACCCCTACTTATATTGCTCCGTCTTATCACTCGGGCTATACACGGTCCCGGCATGGAACAACTATGGGTGTTGGTCCCGGTGGTTTCGACACCGGGATTAGCTACAAAGACGGCTTCACGGTTCGCCAAATTGGTACCAGAGCCATCCCCACGGTACCTAGTCCGGTGTTAAGTTTTTTTGTGACCTGAAATGGAGGTACCGGTACTGGTCCATTTTTTATTTTTTTGGCTTGCTCACAATTATGATTCTAGGTGGGCCGTGGGGAGGGGTGGGGGTTTGTGTTGTGGGTCAAGCCCAATTTTTTGGGTTTCATTATCTGCTTTGTGGGAGGGCCAATTTTGGGAAAGTTTTTCCTTTCCTTTGTTGACCTAAAGAAGTGTGAGAGGGGCTGGGCACTGACTTACAAAACAGAGAAAAAAAAAATAGAATTGAGGGAGAGAGAAGGGTGCTGGTGGAGTGTTTTCAGACTAGCCGCACAAATCTGATCATCTCCGGAGATCCGACCGTTGGATTGAGTTGAAATTTTCGGAGATTGTTTCCAACACTAAGGGCTTCAATCTGTTCTATTTTCACATCAATCAGAGCTACGGATCTTCTGTTATCGCAATTGATGCAGCCTGCATTTTTGGGTGATATCCTTGATTTTTCTTTCTCTATTATTGATGGCTCTTATGTATATTGTTTTTGGTGGTCTGTGGCATCCTTGTAGACTGAGTTTGGGTGTTCTTACCCTCAATTTACATAATAAGAGAAGAAGAGGGCAGATTCCCTATAAGTCCCATGGTTTTTATCCTTCACAATGAAGGGGTTTTCCACATATAAAAATCGTGTGTCGTTTGCATCTTTATTCTTCTTATTTGGTTGTGATTTATTTGATTTGCTACTAATTTTGTGTGCTTGGTGAATCAGTTGTGGTAAATTGGTTTAAGAGTGTTTGATTGGTTGTCTTGAAGTTGATCTTTGTAGGTGTTGTATCCTACCTGTTACTTTTCCCCCAACATCTGGTATCGGAGCAAAGGTTTAAACCGTAGATATGGAGTTAAGAAATAATTCTAAGGTTAATTTGACATCAACCAATTATTCTATTTGGCGTCCTATGATGGAAGATTTGTTATATTGTAAAGATTTGTTTGACCCAATTGATGTGGATAAAACCAAGAAGGATGACATGCCCACTAAACTAGAGAAGATGACGAATAGAGAATGGGAAAAACTGAAGAGAAAGACCTTGGGGACTATCAGACATTGGATTGATATTAGCATATTCAATCACGTATCCCAAGAGGTTGAGCCACTCGAGTTGTGGAGAAAATTGGAGGGTCTTTATGCTTGTTAGTCTCAAGTTGAAGTCGGGAAAATATGTTTCTGAGCATCTTAGTGACTTTCAAGATATCATTAACAAGTTGACTGTGATGAAAATTGTTTTTGATGATAAGTTGCAGGCTTTATTCCTATTAAGTTCTTTGCCAGATAGTTAGGAGATCTTGGTTGTGTCTATTAGCAACTCAGCTCCAGATGGTGTGCTTTCATTGGATGTCATTAAAGAGAGCATGTTCAATGAAGAGCTTAGAAGAAAGGAGATGGGTGTTGACATATCACAGGCACTTGTGGTAGAGAATAGAGGAAGAAGCAAAAGCAGAGGTCCCAAGGGCGCGTGGCAAGTCAAAGTACATGTCGAAGTCCAAGGATGGGAGAGAGCCCACAATATGTCACTATTGTAGCAAACTTGGCCATATTCAAAAGTTTTGCTATAAGATGAAAAGAGACCAACAAAAGAAGAATAATGATCACCACAAAGAGGGTGATGACAGGAATACAACAGTGACAGCTTCTACTTCAGATGATGGTTTTTCATTGGTTTGTACTGCAGGTGATTGTTGTCATGTTGATAATTCTGATTCTGAATGGCTTGTTGATACAGGGGCTTCTTATCATTGTGTTCCTCACAAGAAGTACTTTATTGAGTACCGAGCTGGAGATTTTGATAGTGTGAAGATGGGAAACCAGAGTTCAACAAGTATTGTTGGAATTGGAGATATTCGGGTTCAAACCAGTGTTGGGTGCTATATGACTTAGAGAGATGTTCGCCACATTTCCGATTTACGCCTCAATTTATTGTCTACTAATTTACTTGATCAAGAAGGTTATAAGCATAGTTTTGGTGAGGGTAAATGGAAATTATCTGAAAGTTCTTTGACTATTGCTGTAATTCCTTGATTTGAAAATAAATAGATTGGGAAAGAAAAGGTCCAAAAAGATTGATAGTACTACTCATACCAACAAGGTGCATTTTATTTTTGAGAGCTCATCACCTAGAAACTCTAAAGTTAAGAATGCTTGACTTGAAGCAATTTTAGGATGGGTGACCTCCTGGGAAATTTCCTTGGGCGCGCACGAGAGAGGACAAATTGTGTGGGAAAGACTTGTGTTGGTGCGTGGGGTTAGTCTATAATCTTATGAGTGAATACTTACGGCCAGGGTGGGGGCCGGGGTGTTACAAATGGTATCAGAGCAACCCTGCGACCGTGATGGGCCAACGAGCTTAGTTCACATAGCGGGGAAAATCTATGGGTTTTAAAAAAAAGGATGTAACAAGGACATTGTATTCCTAAGTGGGGGTGAATGTAATACCCTGATTTGAAAATAAATGGATTGGGGAAAGAAAAGGCTCAAAAGGATTGATTGTACTACTCATACCAATAAGGTGCATCTTCTTTTCGAAAGCTCATTACCTAGAAATTCTAAAGTTAAGCGTGCTTGACTTGGAGCAATTTTATGATGGATGACCCCTTGGGAAGTTTCCTTGGGCACGCACGAGTGAGGATAAAGTGTGTGGGAAAGACTTGTGTTGGTTTGTGAAGTCAGTCTACAATCCTATGAGCGGACATTTACGGCCAGGGTGGGGGTCGGAGTGTTATAGTTGCTCGTGGCAAGTTTTGTTGCACCTTGTATAAGACACACTTGAAAGTGTGTGTTAATGAGTTGAATGCTGTTGAGGGGAAAACTTCTCCTAACTTATGGCATCGCAGATTGGGCCTTGTTAGTGAGAAGGGTATAAGGCTGTTGGCTGGTAAGTCTCTTATTCCTGATGATGTTACCATTTCACTTGACCCTTGTGATAATTATTTAGCAGTAAAGCAGCATAAAGTTTCTTTTCCGAGGAGCTCCCGGAGAAAGAATCTGAAGCTAGAGTTAGTTTACTCTGATGTGTGTGGTCCTATTGAGGTGGAATCACTTGGTGGTAACAAATACTTTGTTTCTTTTATTAATGATGCTACTCGGAGAACTTGGGTTTATATGATGAAGCACAAAATCGATGCGTTTGGTATCTTTCAAATGTTTCATGCAATGGTGGAAAGGGAGACAGATTGTAAATTGAAGTGTCTTCGAACTGATAATGGAGGTGAATACACTTCAAATGAGTTTAAAGCATATTGTTCAAGATATGAGATTTGACATGAAAGAACATGACATGGTACCCCACAACATAATGGTGTTGCCGAGAGGATGAACAAAACTATTGTTGAGAAAGTGAGATGCATGCTTAGGATGTCTAATCTTCCTAATT